GTCATCGTTTGGATTCAGTTTCCAGGCCTCCCCGAGTATTTGTATGACAGGAAAATTTTGCAATCCATTGGTAGTTTCGTGGGAAAGGTGGCGAAATTGGATTTCCACACCGACACTAGCCATAGACGGTGATTTACTAGGGTTACAGTCTATGTGGATCTCATAAAATCCCTAATCTCTAAAATCTTCTTTGATTTGTTTCTCATTTGGTTGTTTTGGTCATTTGCAGGAAGCTTGTAGTCTCTATGTTCACCAACAAACTGAAGGGACCACTCCTGCGGATTCAAACCAACATGTCCCAAACAGAAGTGGCGATCAACAAAAACCAAATCAATGGAAGTGAATATCTGAGTCAAAACGAGGTCGATTCCGTTTCCTACGACCCTATGATGGTAGTTGAGAGGCGAAGCCGCCGGCAAGAACAAGCTTCAACTAAGAAACCGACGCAAAATCTGCCACAGAAGGGAACTAGCCACCGTATCAATGTCCCAACGGTTAACTCAAACTCAAACAGGAATGGAAAGTCCCCGAAGTCGAGCAGCGGTATTGAAGGAGAAATATCCGAAAATTATGCAAACAAACTCACAACCCCTATTAGTCAAGTTGCCGATAATTTTAGTCCCTTGAATATTCCCCAGGATATTCACCAAGTCAAGGGTATTGGAAGTCCCGAACTATCTCGATCCATTGGCTTAGCTCGAAAATAGCTCATCACACCCGGCTCGGGCGGTTCAGACTAGTCCAGACATGTCTTCTATAAGCTTCTAGGCAGCAAATGAAGCCCACACGCAGGTGATGGTACGTGGGGCACGTGTGACGACAACATGCAATAGAGAAGGAGGTCGATCTCTCCAATAGCTTCTACTCACCAAAATCAATCCAAAACAATTCACAATATGGCTAAAACGAAAAGAAACGAGCGCAAAGTGACCTGGTTCTTATCAACGATAGTTGGAGCCAAAAATCATAACGATGGAGAACACCGTTGGTTGGGTCTTGACCGATACTGAACGAGAAAGATGATGGAACATGTGGTGAGGTCACCAGAGCTTAGAATAGGCAATAATTTGGAGAAAATCAAGGTGGCAGTTTGGGTCTCGGTGAACTTTCAAACGCTGATTTACGGTTAACGACAACGAATTTCAACGAACGACCATCGGGATTTTATTCACGAGAGGTCACCGGTCACTCCGATAGTGGAAGTGTCAAACACGGTGACCGAACGACGACAGTTCAAAGGGAAATGAGGTTTTTAAATATTTAGGGATTTATTATTGGCTCTAATAGAAAAGGGTTTGAATTTGGGGTTTCTAAAAATTAGGGCTGGTATTATTGAAAAAACATTATTAATAAAACATATCAAAACAATGCCCTGGCCTAAATGGTAGGGTATAGGCGACCATACAGCTTGACGTGGGTTCAATTCCTCTCAGCCGCTAAACCATAAGGTCTAGAATTGGCTAAACCATAGCTATGATACCATTAAATATAACACCACCAACCCATATCCGACCGGATACGAATCTGAGGTGTCACATTGACTTTTCAACATTTACTTTTTTAAAAAAAACTGAAATTTAAACATGCATTTGAAATTAAATGGTAGAGCCTTCGATCAAAAGTAAATAAACAGAATTTAGCTTATATTGAAATTTAGAACTTAATAATTTACATAAATATAGTAATGTATGTTTACAAAAACGATCAGAGCATATGTGGTTCAAAACTTAAATTGCATGCCAACACATAATACTATAAAATCACATACTGTATAAGTTGTTTCTGATATGATCTTCTCGTATTGGTATGTTGTCTTGTCGGCTCTTAGCTTGGCTCTTCCTGCTTCTTTGAACCTACGTGTGAAACACTCACACACTAAGTCACCGACTTAGTGAGGCATAAAAAGTGCGTAATAAAACTTAAACATTTACCATAATATAAGCATTTCAAACAATCATATAACACGAAATCCATAGAACATATCATATAACAAAATGCACACATGCACATAGACTATCATTATCATCATGCATTGTTCGTTTATATATTTCCTTTTAGCAGCCCATGGTACATTATTGAGAACTTAAGGTATGTGAGTACATTGAGGTTGTGTACAAATGTTGTTGCCACAGCTCGTATAAATTGCACCGAAGTGCCACATAGAATGTCCCGAAGGACCATATAGTATTGTCCTGAAGGACCATATAGAAATGTCCCAAAGGACCACGTAGAATTGTCCCGAAGGACCACATAGAACCCTCGACTCTTGGCATGACAATTATACCATCATCTCTCATAACACATACTATGGGCTTTACTATTTATATACTTCACTTAACTTGTATCACATAGACATGTCACATAGATCACTTTCACATAGCTTATATGATATTTTCATGTACTCATATAACTCAATGGTACATAACTTATCTCATTCTCATGTAGTCATATAAGATGATATGTAACACATAAACCAGATAAAACAATGCACATAGCACATAACATATACTCATAGTTATGTACACATAATAACAATATTAACAACATATTAGTATTCATGCAATCATGAAATCAAAATATTGAAAATAGACTCATCGCAAGTCTAATTTCCATATAATCATATACTATAGTAATATGCACTCACATTGGCCTCACTAGTCAAACCAAAACACTTATGACTCTTGAACACACTTATAGCTTTGAATCGTCTTGTACTTGCCTTTGATCGATATCTACACAAATATATGATCGATATGAATATCGGAGTTCAATCACTATAAATCAATCCTTAATAACTTAAATTAAACAAAGCACCTAATTCAATAATTCAATTTGAATAGTATCGGTACTCAAGGTACAATACCGATACTTCCTCACTGGAGTATCGATACTATATTTCAGTATCGATACCTATTCTCGGTTCTGGAATTTCATCTCTAGAAATGGTACCGATACTTATATCCTAGTATCGTTACCCTTGGTACCGATACTACTACTTCTGGATTGATACTCTTTGAATAATTTCTCAATTTGTTTCTTATGGTATCGATATTGTTCATCCAGTATCGATACCCAGACCCAAATATCATTTATTTTCAATTTGAAGTATCGGTATTGTTCATCCAGTACCGATACCCCTTGCCACGGAACTTATTCCTTTAAACCCGAAAATTTGCCAATACTTTACTAAATTCTTCACTTTAATCTCCTTTTAAACCTTTAAACTCAATTATACTCACCCAAACCAACTTATTTCACTTTAGTACTCTTAAACATCCAAATTCTCAATAGCACACTTGAAATCAAAAATCATACCAAATTTTCAACTTTGTTATTAATCATTTCTATCCTTTTAGATTTATTATTTTAGCTTATGACAAGTCAAATTTCACTTTACAATTCATTTACTAGTTCTTACCCAACAATTCACTTAAAAATCCCTTTTTCTTAATCATCCATAACCTATCCATCTTTTAGTTTTAAGCAATCCTAAGCTTTCCTTAATCTTATAGATCACCCATAGACCAAAACCAAGCTTAATTTCAAGTAATAATCAGCTTATAAGAAACTCACCTTTGAAATAGGGTTCACAGCTCAAGGAAGAAAAAGAGATAATATTTCGAGATACTTCTTCCTGTCCTTATTCCCACATATATATACACCACTTAAAATATTTTTAATCCATATCTTTCATAATGACCAATATGCCTCTTTTTCTTTTAATCTTTGCTAATCCATCCTACACAGAGAAATTCTTATTAAATCCCTAAACTTTTCAATTTATTCACTTAAATCACAAAATTTCAAAATCTTACCTTGTGGTCACTAGCCCGATGTTTGCGATGTTACAAATCTCCCCTTAAGAAAATTCTTCCTCAGATTTTCATTGCACAAAGAGGTGGGGAAATTGTCTACGCATATCCTCTTCAAGTTCCCATGTCGCTTCCTCTACTTTGTGATTCCTCACAAAACTTTAACTAATAGAATCTTTTTATTTATTAGTGCTTAACTTCATATGCCAAAATCTACACTGGTTCTTCCTCATAAGTCAAGTCAGGCTGAACTTCTATTTATTCTTGTGCAATGATATGAGATGGATCAGATTTATATATCTGAAGCATAGAGACATGGAATTCATTATGAATCTTTTCCAAATCTAGTGGCAAAGTTAATTGATATGTCACTGGTCTCACTCTCTTAACAATCTCATATGGCCCAATGAATCTAGGGCTCAGCTTTCCTTTCCCGCCAAAACGTAATACTTTCTTCCATGGAGATACTTTCAAAAATAATTCATCTCCAACTTCAACTTCAACCTCAATCTCTTTTCTCTTTAAATCGACATACGACTTCTTTCTGTCGGATGCCATCTTGAGATTATGCTGTTGAATCACTTGAACTTTCTCTTCTATCACCTTGATCAAATAAGGACCAAGCATTTCCCGGTCTTTCAGCTCATACCAGTTCAATGGTGTACGATATTTCCTCCCATACAAAGCTTCATAGGGAGCCATTTTAATGCTTGATTGGTAACTATTATTGTAAGAAAATTTGGCAAGTGGCAAATACTTCTCCCATGATCCATTGAATTCGATAACACATGCTCTTAGAATGTCTTCCATAATTTGGATAGTCCGCTTAGACTTTCCATCTATTTGAGGGTGAAAGGTTGTGCTAAAGTTTAATCAAGTTTCTAACGCTCCATGAAAAGCCTTCCAAAATCTCGATGTGAATCTAGGATGTCGATCAGATACTATCGAAATAGGAACACCATGTAGTCGAATAATCTCTTTAATATATAACTCAGCATACTTATCCATGAAGAAATCAGTTCGAATGGAAATAAAATGTGCTAACTTAGTCAATCGATCAACTATCACCCATATTGAATCTCTTTTATTTGGAATCAAAGGTAACCTTATTACAAAATCCATTGTCACATTCTTCCATTTCCATTGAGGAATAAATATTGGTTGCAACAATCCTGAGGGAACTTGATGCTAAGCTTTAACTTGTTGATATGTCAAACACTTGGATACAAATTCCGTAATGTCCCTTTTCATTCCTGGCCACCAATATTGACTCTTAAGATCCATGTACATCTTATTTTCACCATGGTGCATAGTCAACGGACTACAATGAGCTTCTATCAATAGGTCCTTATTCAATTCCTCATCATCCGAAATCACAAGCCTCATTCGATAATACAGATTTCCATCAAACCTAATCTCAAAATCCTTATTTCCCTCATTTTTCACTTGATCCATCCTTTTTAAACATTTATCATCCTTACCTTGCAAGTCTTTGAATCGGTCCAATAACTTTGACTTAAGCTTTAATTTCGCAAGTAATGCACCACATTCACTCATTGACAATCTTGCATCTAGAGCTCGTAAAGCTGCGAATGTTTTCTGACTCAAAGCATCAGCTACCACATTTGTTTTATCGGGATGAAAGTCAATTATCACATCATAATCTTTGAGGAACTCAACCCATCTTCACTGTCTTAAATTAAGCTCTTTCTAAGTCATTAAATACTTCAAGCTCTTATGATCCATATAGAGATAACAACGTTCACTATATAAATAGTTACGTCATATCTTCAAAGCGAACACTACTACAACCAACTCCAAGTCATGCGCTGGATAATTCTTTTCATGTGGTTTTAATTGCCTCGATGCATATGCCACTACTTTACCTTCTTGCATCAATACACATCCTAAGCCATTATGGGACGCATCACTGTAAACCACGTAATTCTTGCTAGATTCGGGTTGAACCAAAATCAGAGCTTTTGTCAAAATTCTCTTTAATGCTTCAAAACTCTATTGACACTCAGGAGACCAAGAAAATGGTACATTTTTCCTCAACAACTTGGTCAAAGGCAAAGCTATCATCCAACATTTCTTAATGAACCTTCGATAATAACCTGCAAGACCTAGGAAACTCCAAACTTCAAACACATTCTTTGGAATTTCCTATTCAAATATAGTTTTTATCTCCTCAGGATCTACTTGAATCTCTTCTATAGAGATCACATGCCCAAGGAAGGCCACCTCATTTACTAGAACTCACACTTAGATAGTTTGACATAAAGCTTATTATCACATGTTCATCATTAGACTTTGAATACACCATTACATCATCAATGAAAATGACTACGAACTAATCCAGATAGGGTTGAAACATTCCATTCATAAGATCCATAAACGCAACAGGTGTATTCGTCACTCCAAACGGCATAATAATGAACTCATAATGACCACATCGCCCTAAAAGTTGTTTTCAGATAACCAGAGTGTAAATCAATCTTAGAGAATACTGAAACACCCTTTAACTGATCAAACAAATCATCGATCCTAGGGAGATGATACTTTTTCTGTATAGTCACCTTGTTGAGCTGTAGATAATCAATGTAGAGACATATTGAACCATCATTTTTCTTCACAAATAGCACTGGATCTCCTCAAGGTGACACACTAGGTCTGATAAATCCCTTATCCAACAACTCTTGCAATTGAATCTTTAATTCGTTTAATTCTTTTGGAGCCATTTGATAAGGTGGCATTGCTATCGGTGTTGTTCCAGGCATTACTTCAATTTGAAATTCAACCTCTCTGTCTAGAGGTAATCCTGACAACTCTATAGGAAAGATATTGGGGAACTCTCTAACTATTGGAATATCTTCTACTCCTTTCTCTCTCCTTAGCTCTAGTATCTATTACATTTGTAATGAAACCCTGACATCCTTGTAACAATAACTTATTTGCCGATATCACTGATATTACGTTTGCTAACGGATTAAATCTTTCAGTGATTATAATCACTTCTAATCCATCAGGACTAATCAGAGTTACTCTTTGCAATCTACTATCGACATTTGTATGATAATAATATAGCCAGTTCATTCCCAAAATTACTTCAAATTCGCCAAAGGGTAATTCCATAAGATTAGCAGGAAATTCAATTCCCTGAATCCTTATAGGACACCCTCGACACACTCGATTTACCAGAGTACTATTCCCTAATGGGTTAGTTAATATCACATCACTACTTGTTGCTTCAAGTTGGATTCTGAACTCTTTCACCAACTTACTACTAATATATGAATAAGTGGAACCCAAATCAATCAATACCAAAACAAATTTATCGAGTAACTGAAAAGTACTTATAATAATCTCATGATCATCGTGATCGTCATTGGTCTTTATGTTGTAAACCCGTGTAGTTGAATGCACTTCCTGTTGAGTGGAAGTCTCAGACTGATTCATTCCTCTACCTCTTCCTCTTCCTTTCTGAGATACCGAAGCAGATCGTTCAGACTGGGCAGTCTCTCCCATCATTATTGGACAATCCTGGATAAAATTTATGGTGTCCCCACAATGGAAACAGGCTCCGGAGACCACTCTACATACTCCGGTATGATTCTTTCCATAATGCTGACACTATTTTGATTGACCCTGATTCGATCTCCCAGCACCAGACCCTATTGATTGTGTCTATATGGCTCTCATCTGACTTGATCTTCTAGAAGATGATGCAACTGACTTAGACCTCGTCTAAGATCAAAAAAACCAGAATCTCTACCTCTCGTTGATGGTGCTGAACTCGATAAAGAACCAGCTCTCTTGGATGTCTCAGCTATCTGTTCTCCATACCTCTCATTCTAAGCTCTCTCAAGAGCTTTAGCACGGTTGACCACCTCTTGGAACGAGGACATATTTAGAACTATCAACATCTCTTTCAATCTCGGGCGCAAGCCCTTAACAAACCTATCACAAGCATCCTTTTTTGTCAATTAACTCAGCAACAAATCTACTCAACTTATTAAACTAGCACTCATATTTATACACTGTGCGATTCCACTGCTTTAAACTCATACATTGTTGCTTCATTTGTTTTAAAATTGATCTCCAATGAACTTATGCTTAAACTCTTCTAAAAACAAAGACAATGTCATTTGGTCATTTGTCATCCTCATGGTGACATTTGTCCACCATACTCTAGCTTGACCGCGTAGCAACGAAACTACTCCATCTAACTTCTCCACTCTAGAGCAATGGAGACCGTAACATAATCTTCACATCATTCAACTAAAGGTCCGTATCAATCGGACCTTCCTCAGCTTCACCCTTAAACTTAGGTGCTCATAACCTTTTTAATTCTTTTGCTACATTTAGTCTAGGGTTGAGGAAGCAGGAGGTTGGAAACACGTCAGAATAGAGTCCAACGTCCCAAAGAACACTTCTGGATCTTGTACAGGCACTCCCTAAGGTGTTTATTCTTCACCTTATCTGGCTAGGGCAGTAAATTACTACTGTCTTTTTATCTATCCTCTCTCGCTTCCCTTTTGGAGCTCTCGTGGTCAGACATCTAATAAGACGTAATCATTTAACTATATTAGCAAGACAACACACTCCTTACACTCTCAGATCATAAATTTTCACAATTTTGTTAGCATATATATTTTTTAAAACTCATTCAACCTCGGTTTATGCCTAGAATCGGCTAAACTATAGATCTGATACTATTAAATGTAACACCACCAACCCATATCCGACCCGAACACAAATCTGAGGTGTCACATTGACTTTTCAAAACTTTTACTTTTTAAAACAAAATAGTTGAAATTTAAAATGCATTTGAAATTAAATGGTAGAGACTTTGATCAAAGGTAAATAAACAGAATTTAACTTATATTGAAATTTAAAACTTAATAATTTACATAAATAGAGTCATGTATGTTTACAAAAATGATTAGAGCGTATGTGGTTCAAAACTTAAATTACATGCCAACACATAATACTACAAAATCACATACTATAAGTTGTTTCTGATCTGATCTTCTCGTATTGGTATGTTGTCTTGTCGGATCTTAGCTTGGTTCTTCCTGCTTCTTTGAACTTACGTGTGAAACACTCATACGCTAAGTCACCGACTTAGTGATGCATATAAAGTGCGTAATAAAACTTAAACATTTACCATAATATAAGCATTTCAAGCAATCATATAACATGAAATCCATAGAACATATCACATAACAAAATGCAAACATGCACATAGACAATCATTATCATCATGTGTTGTTCGTTTATATCTTTCCTTTTAGTAGCCCATGGTACATTATTGAGAACTTAAGGTATGTGAGTGCATTGAGGGTGTGCACAAATACTATCACCACAACTCTTATAAATTACATCGAAGTACCGCGTAGAAATTGCACCGCAGTGCCACATAGAATGTCCCGAAGGACCACAAGTATTGTCTCGAAGGACAGCGTAGAAATATCCCGAATGACCACATAGAATTTTCCTGAAGGACCGTGTAGAACCCTCGACCCTTGGCATGCCAATTATACCATCAATTCTCATTTCACATACTATGGACTTTACCATTTATACACTTCACTTAACTTAACTTGTATCACATAGATCACTTTCACATAGCTTATATGATATTTTCATGCAATCATATAACTCAATGATGCATAACTTATCTCACATTCTCATGTAATCATATAATATGATATGTAACACATAAACCAGGTAAAACAATGCATATAACACATAAGATATACTCATAATCATGTACACATAACAACCATATTAACAATATTTTAGTATTCATGCAATCATGAAATCAAAATTTTGGAAATAGGCTCATCGCAAGTCTAATTTCCATATAATCATATACTATATTAATATGCACTCACCTTAGCCTCACTAGTAAAATCAAAACACTTATGACTCTTGAACACACTTATTCTTTTCCTTATTCCCACATATATATACACCACTTAAGATATTTTTAATCCATATCGTGCATAATAACCAATATGCCCCTTCCTCTTTTAATCTTTTCTAATTTTTCCTACATAAAGAAATTCCTATTAATACCCTAAACTTTAAATTTATTCACTTAAATCACAAAATTTCAAAATCATACCTTTTGGTCACTAGCCCGATGTTTGGGATGTTACACTTTCTAAAGAACTGCAAAGCCAAAAAATTAACCGAGTCTAAAATAATAAAACCCAAGAATCTACATTGTAACAGAGCAACCAAGAACAGAGCACAAGAACCCACCTTCATCCCCAATTGTTTAGCTATTGAATCAATGAATCAAAGAAGACCCTGAGTTCCTTAGTGAAGTAGAGTTGTTATAAAAGAAGAAAAATGTATGGTGATAACTCCGTAAAAAGACTCAATTTCTAGTCTTTTAACTTAATTTATTGCTCGTCTAAACAAAATATGCACGTCATTTTAGTTGCATTTAGGTTATATTTGCTTGTGGTGGATAAGATTTGCTTCGACAAGATTTATTTGGTTTAACTGATGCTGCTAAGGAGAAAGGGTTTGTATGGATTGTGTATATGCAGAAAACTTACAGAGGAAGAACATTTCATTCGTGACAATATAAATTGCAAGGGCCAGTGGAACAAAGAAGAACGTGAGGAGCAGATTTATCTCGCCAAGGTAAGGTTTATCTTCAAAGTCTGAAGCGGATATGACGAAATCGCATATGTCACATCCCAGTTGGATGACATCCTTCACGTGCAAGCAAGCCCTAAAGATTCTGACAATCGTCAGCCAGCTTTCCTTTTTTAGTCTGGATGAATAATAACAGTTATTTAAGGAATCTCCAATCACGCGAAACCCTTGAAGATTCCTCTCTATAAATATTCAACCGTAGTCGCCAAAGAAAGAAGGCAAGGAAGAATAGAAAAGAGCTTTGCTGAAGGTGTGAGCGAGCAACTGCAGTGTTTTCCCACCGTTTACCAACCGACAATCCTTGGTGTCCTCCATAACCAGACTGTAGTAGAGCGGTGGACAGGTCTCGAGAGAGGCTGATCACCAAGGAGGGCGCGGTATTGATCAGAATTGTCACGACAGAGCCCCCAGTTTTGGGATTCGTTCTTCCTTTGTTCTTAAATTCTTTACACATGGATGACTTTTTGATAGCACCATGACTGTCTTACTTGGTATTAATCTTTGTTTTGCCTAGACAATTATTTTATGCTTTATGAATGATGAATTATGATTTTACTCATAATTGTTTTGTTCATTGTTTGAATATTTTACCTTGACACTGTAAGAGCATCGAGAGATTGCCTGGGGTTTTGGTAAAACATGTCTTGGCAATGTAAGAGCATCGAGAGATCGCCTTTTGTCTAGATAGTAATTCTTAGATTCGAGAGAATTAAGATAAATCTACGTGAACAATGGAATGGATCCAGGATGGTGATGTTCTAACTTGTCTACCTTAGAGATAAGGAGTAGGTTTCAATCGACTAAAAGGGATAGACGCTAGAGTAGGATAGACAACGACTATAGTTCACGCTGAGAGGTATTGCTACAACAACAGTCTGACAAACCAAGGGTTGTAGTTAACACTGAGTAGTATTGCCATAGCACCCGTCTAAGAATACTTAGTAATCCTGTCGGACAGCTTAAGCAAGTCATAATAATTCATTCTAGTCTTAGAATAATTGTTTTCAATGCAAAAGATTAGCTTAAGTGCTCTATGGTAAGTCTGAATATGTGATGTTGTTTGCATTATATTTAAATAAACAATTGTCTTTATTTTGTTTATTTCAATAGTCTGCATATTTATTTTGTCTCGACCAAACTTTTCTGCAATCACACATTATAGTATTTTCTTGTTTTCTTAATATTAGTTTTGATTGACAAAATAATAGGAATTAGCTTGCTAGTTGTGGTGAAGGTTAAAATCGTAGACCAATCCCTGAGGAGACGATAACTCACTTACCATATATTACTTGGTTCGATTGTGTATTCTTGCACATAATTGCTTGTCTTAACATGACATTTACAAGCGATCAAATGGCGCCATTACCGGGGTTGGCAACTGAAGAAATTTTTATTCATCATAACAAGTTTTTCTTATCACCTCATATTTATCTAGTCTAACGTAGTTTATTATTTTCTTTTGTAGGTTTTTATTGCATGACCCTGAGATCTGCTGGTAAACCATTGGAACCATTCGACCCTGAAGTTGAACAATCATTCAGACAGAGGCTACGTTACCAACGAACTAGAGAACATTTAAACCAACTACAATTACAAGGCAACAACATGAGAGATCACAACGATCCAGATGCATCAATTAACCTTCGAGTTGCAAGAGCGATAGCGATACGAGATCATTTGAACCCAATTCTCGATGACCTCAATCAGGCATCGTGGCACCTGAAATACAAGTAACTTTATATTGGCCAATTTGGTGATTCACTCAATGAGGATGCTAGACAATATATTCGTGCTTTCCTTGAAGTATACGACTCATTTCGACAACAAGGAGTGCATGAGGATGTGCTTAA